AAAACTAGAACTAGAAGAAAAGTATTTTAAAATACTGACCAATTATCAAATCCTTTCCTGTTTTATATTATTGACTAGCAGTAGAGCCTGGCGTTGCCCGGGGATGTAACAGTAAGAGATAGATCAAGTATCGACCATCATAAAGACTGAAAAATAAAATTGTCAAAGATTATTGTTTAAGGTTGACGGACATGCATGTCTTAATTAGTGTTTTTTTTTTTTGGGGGGGGTTACGAATTGGTCAAACCCAAACTCAAACAAAAACATTGTTTTCAATCGTTATGAGACTATTGATTGAATAGAATTTTATTATAAACAATTGTCTTGTAAATGGAATTTTTAAAGCATTCTGAATGTAAAAATAAAGAAAAAAGTGTGCAAGACAATAAGAAACACTACCTGCCAAAAAAAAATGATGTTTTGCTGAAATCGGTTGAAAAATGTAGGAAATTTGATACCATATATAAACGAACACATACACACACACAAAAAACCTGGGTTTTATAATAGGTATAACTCGATATGAGTTGTCCCCCTTTCATTCTGGCAACAGAATCGTGATTTATCGTGTTTTCAAATTGATTTCTTACAAAAATAATTGTGTTTTTTCAATTTTTGGCGCTGTCAGAACCACTGCAAGGTAATTTTACGTAGTCCTGTGAAATTTTGTTGAAATTGGTTGAAAAATGTAGGAAATCCGATCCAATATATAAACATACAGACACACACACACACACACACACACACACACAATCTGCATTTTATAATAAGTAAGATGACAAATAATTTAAAGTTATTTTAGAATTACCTGGGTTATTACCATGCCACAACAAACCCTAACCTCTGTAAAAATGTTAATAAATTTGAAATGTAATTCTAACAAATGAAAAACAATTAAAATTTATCCAAGTATCAAGAGACAGTAACATATGTAATACTGCGTTTTCATTTAACCTAAAATTTCATATGGATTACATTTGTTTTGCTTAGACACTTCCAAGTTGCCTTCAAGTGGGAGTTATCTTCTTCCTTTTACCACTCAACTGCTGCATGTCTGAAATAAGAAGGCAAATTCAACTCTCATTATTCTGTTTTTCTAGAGACACATATATCTTTTAACCTTCTTTCTACTGAGACTGTAACCATGCTCCAAAGATAGTACAGTCCAATTTGAATTCAAATGAATTTTAATTACGCTAATCATTAAAAAGTAAAACTAGATTTTGTTAACTGTAAATTGTTGACTGGGATGACAATGTCTTGTTACTAAACTACTTTTAATAGAATTGCTGCATATTTCTTCTGAATAATATTATTGACTCATCAAATAACAGGAATGTTTTGATAATCTCATTAACTTTCCTCGAGTGTACCTAATCACACAGATACATAAACACATATATATTTTTAATCTGATATTATTTTATATTACTCTAAACATTATTTATATGGATATACATGTTTGAATAAGTGCTCAGTTTTTAATTTTTATTTTTTTTAAACAGTGTGAATTATGTCTATTGGCCTGTGCATTCAAGAGATCTAATAAATAAAAAAATTGTGTTTGAATCTGTGCCCCCCTTTATAAGGGAAATCACTGCTGTGTGTTTTCAGTGTGGCCAAGTAGTCAAGTAGCATGTTACAAAGAGGGATGCATATTCAAGTCCTGCTGGAGGGCACATTTTTCTTTATTAAGTCTCAAATGCACAGGCCAATAAAAATAATTCACACTGTTTAAAAATAAAAAAATAAAAAACAGGATGTCTACTTTAAACACATGTTATCCATGAAAATAGCATTTAAAGTAATAAGAAAATATTCAATAGATGCCATATAAAATGTGCAAATACTACAGTGATAATCTTTATGTTTACTAAAACATAAAATACTTTACTAAACATTATTAATTTATCATAGTAATTAGCACTTATTTCATCTCAATTTTAGTTGTTTTTCATTGAAACTAGGCAAACAGTCTACAGTAAACAATGCAAACAGCAAGCTCTTGACAAGACTTAAACTCACATCTCTTTTGTCTAAGAAAATCTATTTTTCTGTAATGTTTGCTTTAGGTATTGATTAACAAGAAAAAGATCAAATTTAAGCTTTTTAAATTTTCCCCTACACCTTTGCCCACTTGCTTGGTACAACAGAATGGTGACCCAACTTAGAACACAGTAAAAGCAACCTAGCTGAAACATACAAGTTGGTGACAACACATTTTGAACAAACTTGTATCAAAATCACAAACACAACTATGCACTATTTTTGGTAATTTTCAAGACTGGGAACCAGTGAAGAGAAAATTTCAAGTAATGGAAACTCATATATCAATTTCTCTATCAACTGGACTATGTGGGTAGGAAAATTAATATTTTCAACAAATTTGTAATAAACTTGACATAAAGCAAAAAACCACAGATTGAAAAACACAAACCCAATGCAAATTAAAAAACCTAAAACATATCTACATGACAAAGTAACTCTCTTGTAGGGAGACACCAAATCAGTGAACTTTTTCAGATTTAACATGTGCATCTATTTACAATGATGAACTTACAAGAAGAGATCCAAGCCTCATGACCAATCTCCAGAGGAAGAAAAAAAGATAAAGAAAAGGAGCCTGCTTCTCCTTTTTATACACACTTGTGCTTAATTCTGATTGGCTCTGTGGGAGGCTACATAATCTCTATTTTTGACCACAAAAATAAGTGTAACATGCTGATATTAATTTCTGCAAAACTCCACACAATATTTGTTATTTTTTTATGTACAATATCTTTAATATTTGCTATTTTATTAGATGAAGCATAAAAAGTAAATTATGGTTGACAATGCTTCACTTAATAAAAGAACTAAAAAGTAAAATTAATAGAAACTTGTCTGTCATATTTTGCAATTATTGATTTCAATTTTGTTAATTCTTTGCTTTTTTCATAGCCAAAAATAATTTTTAAACATTTGAGCAGTAGAGATATAAACCAAATGTCACAAGCTATGTGGGGGAAAGTACACAACTCCAAAGTATTCTAATTTTTTAATATAAGAAATGAAAGTTTATCTATTTTCATTGAGAAAATATCTCTGTAGGAGTGTTAAAAATATATGCTAAAACACAGCAGGTGCCTTAAATAAGATAATTTATCAGTTTAAACTTTCAATGTTTCAGTTTTAAAGTTTCAATGTGTGTTCTTTGCTAGGTTTCAGCAATAGATATTTGTCAAGCTTGACCAATTTTGGCACAAAGCTGTATATCTAAAGCACAGTTCAATCTTTATACTATTGGAAACCAATTTACAAACAATCATATTACCAACAGATATTCCATAGGCTTCAATGAAAATATGCAGAGTTATTAAACTATAAGTTTCTTTCTAAAATTAAGACAATTGACAAAAACAAATCAAAATCACTATACACATACGCATGCATTTTTATATCTATAAATTGCATATATGGGTATAAATGCAGCTGCAAAAGTAGGTATACAATAAGTACTATACCAGTATTATAATAGTGGTTCTAGCATTCATTTAAATTTTTGTTTTTCATTACTGTTTTATGAATATAACACAGACTATTATGATAATGAAATTTAACTCATGAACTGTGGTAAAAATTTCTGTCATTGACAGCTGAGCCATAAAACTGTAATGATAGAAATTTCTGTCATCCATATTTACTATAATAGTAGAATATTTTTACTAAGCTTAGTCTAGTCTTGTGAAAAGCTACAATAGTGGTGCTCCAAGTAAAGATTGAATTTATGAACAATGATACTTTTGTATCCCCCTGTATATTGGCAGCAATATTTCATTTATGCAGATTTGGTTAAAGACCAACAAAACTTTTTTGTTTAATCTTTTTTTTACTTAAGTTTTCTATGATTATGATCCTTTTCCTGGTTTTCAGGGAGAAGTTGAACATAAATTTTCCAATGTCTTCTGAGTTTTTTAGCTTTCATGAACCATTATAAAAGAGTTTTATGTTTGTGTTGATAGGATTTCATATATATATATATATATATTTTCTTTAGTAGTTTTCAAGTGTCCCCATAATAGGTGTTATGTTTTTGTTCTAAGTATCATATCTTCACATGTTGGTAGGAGTCATATCATTTTTTTGCATATATTGCAACTTCATGTATCAGTTTTATTGTATTGTGTTATTTTTTTAATTAGTTGGGAAATATATTTAATATCATTGTTAGTAAATTGAATGAAATTTTATAGATGTTTGGTTGTTTTCTATCATGGTTAAGGCTTCTAGAATTTGTAGTCATTTTTTATGTATGTACATATGAATAAAGGGAATTGCTGCAGCAATTCTTTTGTTAATTAATGTTTTATCATAGACAAGGAAATTATTTTTATAATTTTTAAAAATAATATTTCTTGTTTGCATAAACAAGAATGCTTGTCTGGACTCAAAATATTGTCCAAATGTTTGGGATGTAACCCTTTCAACCATACTCCTGGCCACTATCAAGATCAGTGAACAAAAGAAGTATGGATATTAGCCATTTTTTAATTGTTCAGTCTTGTATTATAGCCTTTGTTCATTATGATGACACATGATTTATATGTTACTTAATGCTTTACATCATAATAGTGCATAAATGCTATAATCCTGAACTGAAAAATTGGAAACATTTTTAAATCTATACTTAAGGTTGACAAGCTGGTGAATAGCTTTCTTCTGGCTCCTCTGCCATAATAATTATGGTATTATAATACCATTCTTGGGATGTTATGGACACATTCCATCATATCTGATACCTTGCAATGGTCATTTTGTTTCATTTTTCCATTTCATCAAATGAAAGTATCTTTCTGATGGCTGGCCTGATAGAAACAAGATGGAGTGTTTTCATTTCATTCATTAGTATATCATGTTCGTGCAGTTCACAGTTAAAACTTGGATTCCCTGTTTTGAGTCCATTCAGACTGAATTGTTATTTCTCTTGACTTTTTTAATAGTCAATTGAATAAGTGTCAGCTTACAACCATATCATGCTGAAACATCAGTTCTCATCCAATCACTGAAGTTAAGCAACATTGAGCCTGGTCAGTACCTATATGGGTGACTGTTTGGGAATACCAGGTGCTGTAAGCTTAGATGTGCAGAAGATGTAATAATGGGTTGAAATGAGAAATTGGAGAGCTGAGGACAAATTCCAGTTGGGTTTGTTATATTCACTTACATGCAAATACCATTGGGAAAAGTATGAATCCATCTGTTCTCCTCCCAGCTATGGGTTAAATAGCAAAACTTGTATCAGAAAATTATTATCTCCAAAAAATTCTTACAATCCCAAAATATGTTTCGGTTTTAAATAAACTTAAAAAGGTTGATTAGCTATAAAAATCAAATCAATCAATCAATGAATAAATGCCAATGAATTAAATATAAATCCATTAAATATAAAATCTGTGTAATCTCTCTTTTTCTCTCTCTCTCTCTCACTCTCACTATATGTGTGTGTGTGTGTGTGTGTGTGTGTGCATATTCACAAATAAAATTATATGGACATATATAAAGAGATACAGAAATGTTCTCAGTCTAACTCACTTTCCAAAATCTGACAAAATGACCAAACATCAGATTTTTGCAGGGTGTGGATTGAATGGCTTCTTAGTTGAACTGAGAACTTTTGACACTCCATCATATATTCACATGCACATACATAGAACAGCTTTTAGAAAATTTTTTTGTACTGTTGTTCATGACAATTCATTTTGACTCAGTAGTTGTATATCTTAAGCCTTTAGTGTTAACCTCTTATCCATAATGTCATTACACTGGCAGCAGTATATTTTGATATTTTTTTTAGAGAAAGTATGTCACTGATTATATGCACTCTCAGACAGGTACAAGATGCTACTTAAAAGTTTGAGGAATTTTATCACGTAAAAAAAAAAATACTTTTAATACCTGACAGCTCACAAAAGATACTACTCATAAAAAGTTGCATGAAATGTCCATATTACGTTTGGTCCGCACACTCATTTTCTTTTTCCAGTAAATTCTTCTGCTTGCATGCTGATCATATTTTAGTATGTAGATTTTTAGAATAGGGAAGAATGTAAGTCCTACCCACTACATTTTTTTGCTAGTTTTACCTATAGCTGAGGAGAGGAGTGGATTTCACTCTTGGTTTGACTATCAGAGTTTTCCTTCTCCAAGACTGGTTGCCTAGTCTGCTCTGCTATTTTACTTATAACTGGGAGATCAAGAGACAGATTCCCAAGGGCATTAAGGTGAAATGAAACCAAACTGCTTAAGTTGAATTTTGGACTCATTTCATGAATTCCATTTTCTGTACTGTTAACCATCCAGCCACCTGCTCCTCCTTGTGGATGTTTATAAACAATAGAATTATTGATTTAGGTTGTAAATTGGATTATTGTATTATGTAATAGAGTAATTTTATATAAAAAATAAGCAAAATAGGGAATAGGAAACATCTGGATAATATCTGCACCATTGATAAATGCTAATAATACTAATATTACTTACTACATTATGGATTTTATGAATACAACACTATTATGATAATGAAATTTAACTCATGAACTGTGATAAAAATTTCTGTCATTTAAAGCTGAGCCATAAAACTAATGATAGAAATTTCTGTCATTACACAATTACTATTACCAATAGTAGTATAAATTTACTAAGCTTACTCTCAGCTTGTGTAAAGCCACAATAGTAGAGCTCCAAGTAAGGATTGAACTCATGAACATGGGCTTGGGAGACTTGGTAACTAAGTATTGCCCTATAGCAGGTATTTACTAATAATAATAGCAGCATGGATCATTCACTATCCTTGCAAACTTTCTGCTCACTATTATTTTTCATTACTGAAATCAATTAAACAATCTACAATATTTTATAATTATTGTCTTTTTAAATGGATTGAGTTTTTTATCATTTCACCCCAAGCAAGGCAATAAGGCCACTAAGATGCAAGGGGGTTACTGAGTGTGAAAGAATATGAGAAAAAGGAAACACGAAAATTCCAACCTCTATGAATACATATATTCACAAAATTTGCGATTCAAATTCTAGATAAATCCCTAACAATGATTTTATTCCACCCACTTTATATCTTGTTCCATTGGCAGACATCTTGAGTTAAGACGATTACTGACACTCTCTTTGTTTATGTAATCCAAATGATCCCTAAAGCAAATACATTCTAGCATTACAAGTAAGTATATCTGAGGAAAGATTTTATTGAAAATCTATTTTCTTGTTATAAAAAAACTTCACTCTCAAGTAAAGTTGGTAACAGGTTTAAATACTGGGAATTTCTTAGCAAGTCTGTTCTCCATGCTTTTTTAAGAAATATTTTAACATGTAATGTTTCTAATTATCATTTTATTTTAGTTATCTTGTTAAATTCAATAAACACTATATTTTAATATGTTCAAAATTTTAGTAAATCATTTTCAGTCTTATATTTTAAGAAAAATTATTTAATATTTCTTTTATGATTTTCATTTTTTTTTTTCACATTTTGGCTGGTTATATGTCCAACTATCTTTAGGGGAAATTTTACTCAATTTTGTTTGAGCATTATTGTTAGTAAAGTTTTTGCTTACAATTCAGTCTGTGGGCAATGTTCCATTGTTATGTTGATTTTAGCTGACTCATTAAGTTTCAAAAGCAAAAGTTTCATTGCTTTCTGTTTCCAACTTCTACTTTCTTTCATCAATTTATCACCCAAAATGACATAGTCATTATAACAATTCCATTTTTTTCTCTACAACTACAGGATGCCATAGTAGCAATACATGCCTTGTTTCCCTTCTGTAGAGACTTGCTGGACAAACTGTTTTTTGTCCCCAGCTAAACCACATGCTACATACAGAATTTTCTCTCCATTTTTCTGATCTAGGAGTAGATAGGTTCACCTATCGTCCGGTTCATACTCCACCTTGATCTTTTAAACAGAAGTAGAGGTTTATCCCTTATTTCTTGATAAGGATTCAGTTTCCAGTTCCTTCTAAAGTCTACTTCAGCTCTGTACTCCTAATGTTTGTCCTATCATATGCTAATATAACTTCACAGAGTAACCCTTTACCTTGAGTGGCTCCTGGGCCTTGTATTGGGTGAATATTAGTAAAAAAAAAAAGATAAAAGAAAAAGTAGTTAATTACTCAGATCAAATTTTCAGATATTTTTAGATTCTTGCACTGACAATATACAAGTGCTATTTTTAGACATCTTGCAAATAAAGTAATCATCTGTAATAATAAACAGTGTGATTTTTTGTTTTTTTGTCTATAACTTTTGCCATATAAATGCAAATATAAAAATACGAAATAATTTTTTGTATCTGTTATATTGTAAAGGAAGATTCTGAAACTACAGACTGTAAGGTAAATCTTTGTTCTTTACATAAATTGTCTTCTTGCCATAATAAAAGGAAGAGATCCTTATAATATTATGCCTTGGTTTTTGTTGTTAATTTACATTACACTAACCCTTCCTGTTGCTTGCTTAATATAAACAAACCATAACTTCATACACAGTATAACAATAGGTTAATATTTTGATAATCAAGAGTACTTGATATTCTGTAGTTGCTAGCCAAAAAGTCTAACAAGCCAATCACAGTGAGTTTATTCCTTACAGAACACCCTCTCTATCTGATTATCTGTCAAAGTATACACTTCACTAATGTCAGTTTAGTTTATAAAATTAATTATGTTCATTTATGAATTAATTTCTAATAAAATCTTTTGTCAGAGATTTTAAAACTTCAAAAATCTTTATAGAGTTGTTATGAATAATCAAAAGTGGTCCCCCCTTGTTTTGTTACTCTCCTCTTTGAGAGAGCTATTTCTGTTTACTGGGACTATGAAAAGACACTATACGCAAACTTTGTATTCTCATTTGAATAAATCTTTCTTAAATCCTACACCTGCATACTTTTGCCATTACAAGAGTATTAATTTATTGACTAATGTTGCTCTAATTCTTTATTGAGCACTTTTTTTGAAAAAAATTATACCTACCTTGAAATATGTTAAATTCTAGAAATTTTTAGATATTTTGATAGGTGTTTGTTATTCATTTGTACTGTTATTATTATTAAAGTATTTTTACTAGAGATTTTAAGAAATTATTTTAAAATTGGTTGTATTATTGAATAAATTGAATGAACTGAGTAAAACTAAAAGAATGTTCTCTGATAACATAAATGTCATTTTTCCCTGTAAGAATAATATACATGTCTTCTTTCATTACTTTCATCTAGACATAATAGGCCTGTTTTGAATAAATGAATACAGAAGAATTTATTAAGCATTTTCAACAGAATTACTTGCTGGTTTTCTTGGCTATTTTCCCTTTATTCTACTTCTGACTTTCCCATCTCTCCAAACAAACATTACAAAATATTCTAAACTTGTATCTATTCAGTTAAAGTATGAAAACAAATTCCATTCTAGAGAATATTTACTAGAACTAACCATAAAATAATATCATTTTGTAGTTGACTTTAAAGTAGTCTGAAATCCAACCATTGAGAAGAATTAAATAGATTAAGAAAAAATGTAAATACTATTTATTAACTTGCAATATGATAATATCTTATTATCCCCCATCCCCCCAAATTTAATATAACCTCTGAATTAATAAGAAATATACAAATTTGCTTTTACAAAGTTCAGTTTGTTAAAATATATTTGTAACTGTAGCAATATGTAAATGACTTTGATTAGTATAGATCAGGTATAGAGGCTATATAACTGCCCAAGCAGCATGGAGAGGAGCAGAATATGGTACACAAGATTAATGACTACTGCTGGACTGAGAAAATATGAAGGTAATCACATTTTATAACTACTGTTGTTGTTGTTGTTGTTGTTGTTGTTATAATAATAAGAATAATTATAATAATAATAATAAGAAGAAGAAGATACTAAGATAATAAGATACTTATAGTAAACAATATTTGATTATCATATAAAAGTCTTTGTTTTTCTATATACAATGAATTTCACTTGAGCAGAACACATTGGAATTACCTATTCTGGTCTGTATCAGCAGTTGATTATTTTAAAAATGTATAAAAAGAACAAAATATTACATATGGCTGAT